AAGCCGGTCCCAAGGGTCTCTTGGGCCGGAGGTGCCTCCGAACTTCCCAGAAAGAGGGGGGACCAGGGACGCGCCCCTGGGAGGCCCTGAAGGGAGGGGCGCAGGGGAGGCACGGGCTCCGAGCGGGGGGCGCTTTCCCGGGCTCCTCACCCACCGCTTTGCAGACCTTCCCGGTGCCCAGGGGTGGCCCCGGGGGCGCCCCCGAGGTCCTAGCCAAGTCCCCGCCGCCCTCGCCTGCGGGACCGGCCGGCCCCACGCCGGGAGCCCTCGGACTGGGCTCCGAGCAGCCCGTATTCCTGTTTGATAACATCCCGCGTCGCCCCCTGTTTGTTTTTATTGTGTCAGAAAGGGAGAGAATTTCAGAATTAAAGCTGAAAAAGCCCATCTGTTTCCAATGAATCCCCCATAGTTTTTCACAATGTTTTTGGCAGATCGCTGCCTTCAAATTCCTCCGAGCCCGGACCTCTTGTTTTTGTTGGGGGAAGGGAGGCCAGCCCCACAGAGAAGCATTTGTTCGTTCCCAAACGCTCCAGTTTCTTGACTTTTTTTTTTTCTTTCCCTCCCCTTTCGTGGGGGGGAGGGGGAAGGCCCGAAACTTAAATCCCTGCTCTGTTTTCTTTCTAATGTTTCATAAAACTTTATTTCATTTTTGCCATATGCTGCTCACAGCTGGGGAACGCCAGTGAAACCCTTTATACCCGTTTTTCTCTTCTCGCTAAAAAAAAAAAAAAAAAAATACACATCAGCCCAGGGTTCGGGCCCAGGGGTCCCCCGTGGCGAGGCGGGATCTCCCGGCCGGTGCCATTGTGTGGCGAGGCCCCGAGGTGTCTTCTTGCGAAAATGCGAGTGTGTTTCTGTGTCTCGCGCCGCAGCCCAACGCGGATGCGCGCAGCCCCCGCGCACCGCGGGGCTTTGCAAGAAAGGACTTGAGTTCGACCGGGATTGCGTTGTTTTGTTTTGCTCCTCCGCCAACTGGGTTTCAGGAACTGGCAGAACTGGGCCATCCAGGCTGCAGGCTGCCGCTCGGGCAGGGAGGGGGACCGGGCAGGCAGGGAGCCCAGGCGGCAGAAACGGCCTGGGATCAGTTTACCTTCCCGCCCCGGCCCTGCTTGGGGTGTCCCCGGCGGCCTCGGGTGCAGCGCCCAGTTCACACTGGGCAGCTGCACGCCCCCCCCACCCCAGGGTGCCCCGGGGAGCCCTAACCTGCTCCCAGCCCTGGAGTCCACTGGGGAGGCCCAGGCCTAGGATGGGGGGGGGGGAGTTGGGGTGTCAGTGCCCCCAAGAGCTTTGGACCTCCTGTGCCCTGGCCCGCCCCGGGGATACTAAAACCTCCACAGCGAGTCCACAGCAGGGAGTCCCATTCCCCCCACCACCCCTTTTTTTTAAAAGGCAGTTTCTCCATCTACAAAGCGGTCTGGCTGAAAGGCAGATCTGGTTCCTTCCCAAGAACTAAAAAAAAAAAATTAATTTTTAAAAATGACCCTCTCCTTGAAAACGAAGTTCCCCTTTCGGGGCGTTGGAGTTTGCGGCGTGTGCACCCTCGTTCGGTCCCAGATAACGATCGGGCCCATCGGACGTTTTATCAGATGGGTTGATAGATGGCTTTTGTCCCCGGGCAGCCCTGCGGTGGGGGGATGTGATCTCAGCTCCGAGCTGAAATGGAGAAGGGGGGCTTAGGGGCCCTTAAAACAACACCTTCCTGCTCTTAAAGTGGCAGCGCTGGTTAGCTTCTTGGGCCAGACGGGGAGAGAGGACGGGCTGACAGGGGAACTCGGGAGGCAGGAGGGAGCTGCGAGGGCTACTGGTGGTGGTTTTGTTGTGTTGGTGTTGTTGTTGTTTTATGTCCTTTCTCCTTGTTTCAAACTTTGAAGTGTCCCCCGTAGTCCGGGGAAAGCTGGTGGGTCGGTTATGTAATCCGCCACCCCCAAATTCCATCACTTCTGTTTTCCAAGAAGCCCATTTCTTCTTGGCTCCCAGGCCCGTAACTCAAACCTGGCCGATGGAACAGATAGCCGCCGCACTGTCACGCCAACTGGCTAATGTTTCTTCTAATTTGAGGCCTTAACAGCTGCATTTAGTCAAAATTGCCCACCTTCCTGAAACCTGAGCTTTCAAGAGCCCCAAACTCAATAGGCCGGGGAGAGAGGGGTGGGGGGGTTCCGAAAAGTTGTGTGCTCCAGAAACCTGGGTCAAAAGACAGTTTCTCAAGGAAGAGACGGAATGAGCCATGTCCACAGCAGAGATGGCCTGTCTCGGGCCGTGATGCGCTGGCAGAGGGGCTGCAGGCCTGAGGGAGAGCAGGATGGAGGACAGAGGGGCCAAGAAAGCTCCGGCAAAGGGTGAGGCCCCGGGGACGTGCGGGGACCCCGGGCACCACGGCCGCTCCCGCTGAAAACAGGTGGGCTGGACTGAAAGCCTGGGTTTGTTCGGTGCGTCAGCTTGAATGGCTGCCAGGAGAGAACCCAGGGGAGTGCAAATTAAATTGGACGGAGTTGTGCGGAGAAAGATGCCTTGACGGCTGCTACACTGAGCGGGTTTGTGTCATTTAAGAATGTTTACATGTCCCCGTTCCACGTTTATGGCACACCTACTGTGCCCCTGGCTTGAGTGACATGGGGGTCGGGGGGGGGGGTCAGGTAAAGGGAAGGGGGGGCTCTGTTGTGTCCCGTAGGCTGCGAGGGTGTCTGCTTGGCCGATGCTGTGCCTTTAATGGGTGGCAGAGCAGCCACGTGTAGCTGGGGTAGGGGGGACGAGGGCAGAAGAGACTGCTTAGTACAGTCTTCCACAAACAGCAGCCTCTTCAAAACACAATTAATAGATGCGGTTAAAACTCTGAAGCCATTGGGACTTCTTAAACCAGATTTCTAAGGGAAACCTACCCGTGGCATATGTTGTGGATACGTTGGCGCGTTTCCTACAACGACATACGGATGCTGGGCTCCAGCATGGCGGTTCTCAAAGTGTGGTCCCTGGACCAGTCCCATCTGCCTCCCCTGGGAAGTTCTTAGACATCCAAGTCCTGGCTGAAGTCCTGGCTGGGGCCCGGTGGTCTCTACTTGAACGGGCCCTCCAGGCCGCTCTCATGCACAGGGAGATCGCTGCTCTGAGAATTCTCCCCTTTACTCTTAACCTGCAGCTGCTTTTAAAAATGTCAGTCCTCGCCCGGCTGGTGGGGCTCAGTGGTTGAGCGTCCACCTATGAACCAGGAGGTCACGATTCGATTCCCTGTCAGGGCACATGCCTGGGTTGCAGGCTCCATCCCCAGTGGTGGGGCGTGCAGGAGGCAGCCGATCCATGATTCTCTTTCGTCATTGATGTTTCTCTCTCTCCTTCTCCCTTTCTCTCTGAAATCAATACAAATATATACATTTTTTAAAATGTTAATCCTCGGTGGGGAAACTAAGGCTCGGGAGACCAAGCCCTCTGCAGTGTGCAAGGGTGTCTGTGTGGTCAGAGAGATGAGAATCTCTCTCTCTCTCTCTCTCTCTCTCTCTCTCAGCACATTTCCCATGGGTCTGGCATTCTTGCCTCCTCCCAGGGCTCCTCAGGGCTCCCTCTCCATCCCTGGCTCAGCGTTCCACAGAACATGCCACCCGGCCACAGGCCGGGAAAACCAGTTGACAGGGCTGTCACCGTGCGCATTCCCCGAGTCAGACTCTGCCCTTTGGGTTTTGCTTATGTATTCATTTCACACGCCATTTCGCCCGGGGCAGGCAGCATACCCAGGCGCCTGGGAAAGCCATGCATCCATCCCTCTGCGCCCAGGTCCCTGCAGAAAGGAGCCCATGATTGCTCCCCCTGTTACAGAACGTCCCGGATCACAGGCTCACACCCGGGTGTGGGTGTGTGTGTGGGGGGGGGGGGGGGAGGTGTGCACGCGCCCTGGGCACGTGCCCAGCTGGCCTGCGTTTGCCCTTCCCCGGCAGGAGGAAGGTGGAGGAGGAAGGCCTGCCCGCGGACGGTGGTGAGGGAGAAAAGCCACTTCAAATGAATGTTGACCTGGAGTGGCCAAGCAGAGGAGCCCAGGGTTGCTGGAGGCAGAGCCAGGATGGAAAATTAGCATCTCTAGGGCTAGCCCTAGACTCAGGGGGAAAGGGTGATGCCTCGCCTCAAAGCAGAAAGACCAACTTGCTCACCTGCAAGCTGCAATTAGATCTGAAAAGGGGTGTCTTTCTTTGCCCATCCCCACCCTCCTGCCGAACCCGGGTAGCTTAGCTAAGTTGTCCGCCTTAAGCCGGGATGGCATCCTGGCCCTGGCCCACCACGGGGCCCTCCTGCCCGGAGGAGCCCTCAGCTGCCTGGCCGGCAGCCCTGTTCGCCGTGGGCCTGGCTCCCAGTGGCCGCAGTGGGAGCTGGGGGAGGGTGTCCACTCTGTAAGCGGAGGTGTGCCCTCTGCCTTGGCAGGCGGCGTGGTTTCTTGCAACAACTTGGCCTGTGTGGGGGCTGGGGCAGAGCAGCCCTGGCTGGGTGCGGCTGGGGGGCAGTGCCTACTGCCTCAGCTCGCTGAGCAGCCTGCAGCCACCCCTGCCCACACTTGGCATGTGTGGAGGGAGTTAACCCCCAGCTCCCCAGCCCCCCTCCCCCCCTTCCTAACTCACCCAGAAAATTCCTCTGGCCTCGCTCTTCGCTCTTTCTCCCTTAGGCCAGTGCCTGCAGAAAGGCCCAGAAGGTCCCCAGTACCTTCCAGGGCGGGGGCGGGGTCTCAGGCTCCCTCAGTCCCTGGGGCCCTCTTAGGCTGGACCGGGGAGAAAGGCCTTTCGAAAGGTGGCAGTTCTGTCTGCTTGCCGGTTAAGTAAGGTGGCGTCGGCTGTCGCCGGCGAAAAAGCCAAGCCGTCACCTGGGTGTGGTCCTCTCGGTGTCCGATGCCAAACACCTGCATGTTGACGTCAGGGCGATGGGGTGAGATTCCTACCAGCGGGACAGACAGGCAGCCTCGGGCATCTGTCCGGCCAGGAGCCCCCAGCACGGTGCCCAGGGCTGAGCTTACCAAATACTGACCCTGGCTCGGGTGGCCGCCCCCTCCCAGCTTCAGAGCTGAGGGACAGGAGAGGGTGCAGGATGGCCCATTGCTCCTGCTGCTGCCGGCTGCCACGCTGGGGGAGGCAGGTGGGCCCTCCTGGCCGGTGCTCCGTTCCCATAACCACCCTCCGGACCCGCACCGGCCTGTTGCTGGAGAGAGAGGAGCTGCCGCTGGGGGTGGGCAGTGAAGACGGACATGGCATCGGACGACCGCTTCAGCACGGCCATCCCAGAGGCGGTGCAGCGAGTTCTCCTCTAAGCTCCACCCAATCGCTTCCATCCCAATCGGAGCCATCGCCTCTTAAGTTACACTGCGCCCCAAAATAGTGTTCCGAGTGTGCCGAGTCCTTGCTGGCCATTGTCCGGGCCCCGCGATCAACTGGATCTAGTCGGAAGTCCTCAGGCTGGTGCCTCAGGGTCCGTCAGGAGAATAAAAACCACATGGCTCTGTCCACAGAGGGATCTTAACATAGGGGACGGCAGATGGGTGTGGGGGAGTGAGAAAGCAGGAGGGGTCGCTGAGGCACACAGTGCCAGGGAGTGGTTTCCACCCCTGGGGATGGGGGACAAAGGGAAGAGGTTGGGGGGGCCCAGTCCATGAGGAGGGGCCCGTGCCTGGCTGGTCTCAGTACTTCTGAGTGGCACCAGTGATGCTTGGGGGCGGGGGAGGGGAGGGGGGGGACAAGGGCCACTGTCCAGTGGTGGTAATAGAAACAGCCTGGCTCCATCCAGATGGCTCACTGGTTGAGTGTTGCCCTATGAACCAGGAGGTCATGGTTCGATTCCCGGTCAAGGGCACACGCCCAGGTTGTGGGCTCGATCCCCAGCGTGGGGCGTGCAGGAGGCAGCCGATCCATGATTCTCTCTCATCATTGATGTTTCTCTCTCTCTCTCTCTGCCTCTCTCTTCCTCTCTGAAATCAATCAATATATTTAAAAGAGAAGGTGAACCAGTGTGCGCCTCCAGCCTTCCCTCTTCCGTCTAGTGTCCCCTAGTGGCGGAGTCCAGCAGGGAGCCCGGTGACCAGGGAAAAGGGCTTTGCAGATCCCCAGCCCCACTCAACAGAGGGAAGCTGCCTGCCATTCGCTTTATCAGGGGCACAGCTGGCACGCAAGGCCCTTGTGCCTGGCCCCAAACTCCTGGCTGCACGCTCACCAAGCAGCAGTTAGCATCTGGCCAGCCGCAGCTGTGCCTGGCCCCTGGTGTTTCTGGGACCCGTCAAATCCCGCTGCCCTCCCGGACCTCATTGAAATGCCGCTTCCCCGATGCCCTCTCAAGCCTCCATTCTTCCATCTTTGTTGCATTTTAGTGCTCAGATAAGACGTGTTTGCTCTGCATTCTGGAAGCTTCCGTGGCTCGCTCTACCTCTGCACAGGAGCTCACTGGGGCTTGTTCCAGGAACAGCATGAAGCACGGTGCCTGGCACAGAGCTGCTTCCAGAACCTTCAGCGAGTCATGCACTTTGCCATGCAGGCCCCGGCGTCGGAAGCCGCCCGCCCGGCCACGGGGCTTGCCTTCAAGCCGAGCTTTGCCCCTTTAAGAAGAGGCAGGTTTTTTCTGTTCCCTGGCTCACCCCACCCCTCCCACTCGGCATCTGAAACCCGATCTAATCCCTTTGCACGCGGGTAATTTATTGGTCTATTGGGCTTTTCTTGGTGGCAAATTGCATTGTCTTTATTCCTGGGTTCAGGCTTCGGAGCGGCTTACCGCATTCCTAAGACTCCTTTCTCAGGGCCCGGCCCTCACACCCCCTCCGCGCGCAGCAAAATCAGTTTTATTGGGCTTCTTTGTCATGCAAACAAGGCGGTAATAATCAGGCTATTATTCTCCCAGATTGGCCTTGATTAACAGTTCAAAGGAGGCCTCTGAAAGCCGCTAATGCCGTCCGGGCGCGTAAATATTTTCCTCCCGCCGGGCTCCGGGCTCCGTGCAGCTGGGACTCCCAGCTCCCTGCCTCCCTCTTTCTGCTTGAGAGGCGCTGGGTTGCTATTTAAAGGACAAGAATGAAGCCAAACAGGCAGGCTGTGTGGCTGTGGTTGCTCTCTCCGCTGTGCCCACCTCCCCCAGATGAGAAACGTTACATGTGTGGCGTGTGGGAGCCAAGGATTCCAGGACAAAAATGGGGGGACCCGGGGCAGGGGTGTCCTGGATGAGACCGGTCAGGCAGGCCCACAGAGCCGCTAGGGGGTGCGGCCAAGAAGATGGCCAGGGAAACTGAGGGCTGTCTTCAGCATACACAGAAGGATGGAGGTCCTTGGGAGGCAGATGTGGGTCCACAGCTGGAGATGCCGGGGCAGGAGGGGCCAGCCCTGTGCTGGCCCAGTTCAGTGCAGGGAGGTCCGGTGTCCGCCGGGCAGGGGTGCCGCAGGGAGGTCTCCTGCCCAGGAGGCTGTCTGCGGGTGGAAAGCAGTGACCTCTGGCCCCAGGTTCTAAAACTCCGTGGAGGTTGGTCCCAGAGCGATCCTTAAGGCTCTTGATGAAGTCGGTTGCACGCAGGAGGGAGCTGTGGCCTTCGCTGCAGGAGTCAAGAGCAAACGGGTCTGACGCATGCCAGGGGTTCCCTCCACCCCTATCAAGTCTGGGAGCCCTGAGCGTAGGCATTGCCTGCACCCCACCCTTGGTCGTTGCGGCCTCTGGATTCCCCTCTGTTTGTCCCCCGGCAGCTAATCCTGAAAGTCCTGTCTCAAGGGGCCTGGGTCCAAACAAAGATGCATCATGGGCGTCAACGGAGTGTACGTTTCTGTGAGGCGACTGCGCATTTTCCCGGGCGTCTGGGGTGCAGCCCTGGGTATAAGGGTGAGCAGAGGCGCCAAGAGGGTCCCTGCCCCAGGACACAGTGGCCAAGATGGCGGAGGGGTCAGCGGGGGGACGAAGAAGGCGGAACATCTGTAATACTTTCAGTAGTAAAGATAAATAGGTAAAAAGAAATGGCCCAGCCAGCGTGGCCCAGTGGTTGAGCGTCGCCCTACGAACCAGGAGGTCACAGTTCGATTCCCGGTCAGGGCACAGGCCCCGGTTGTGGGCTCCATCCCCAGTGCGGGGGCGTGCAGGAGGCAGCCGATCCGTGATTCTCTCTCATCATTGATGTTTCTATCTCTGTATCCCTCTCCCTTCCTCTCTGAAATCAGTAAAATTATTTTTTTTTAAAGAAATGAAGCTCAGGAAAACGTCTTATTTTCCATCACTTCTCTCCTTCCTGGCTCTTCTCCTATTGGCTGTCTCGGGCCCATTGAGAGGTGGCAGAAAGGCCAGAACAGGAACCAGGCAGGAGGGAGACAGCTGGCCGCCTTCTGTCACCAGGCACCAGGGTGGCTCCCTTTCCTCCCGCTCGCACCCGTTGCAACCGGATCTCTTTCAAACGCTCAGATTTTCCTCTCCTTGGACACCCGCATCAGCAGAGGCCGGGGTTTTACTGCCTGGAACCCGGGCCTCCTGCTTTTTTATTAAAGATACTGAACATAAAAATCAGCGCCTCTGGGTGTCTCTGGCAGGTGACGCCACCGCTGGGAGCGTTTCCTTTTGATGCCGGGCCAGGTTACATTCCGGGCCCTGACCTGGGCAGACCTCCGGCCCGTGATTTAGTGCCGTGGGCACGGAGCGGCAGGACGACTACTCCCTGGGGGCCCCTCATCTCACCACGAGGGGGACTGTCCAGCCCTGACATCCCTGATGCCCTTCCCCCAGGCCCCCAGGAAGCGACAGCCCCGTGCATGTCCGCTCCAGGCCTGAAGAGCTGTGTCATCACCCAAAGAGGTGGCAGAGGGGAACGGGAGCCGTCCATTCCAGCCCCTGATTTCACTCTCGGTGGCCTCTTGCGAGCCATCCCCCCACCCTGACCTACAGCTTTGCCATCTAGAAAGGTTCTGGGGCTTCCTCTTAAACTCCCAGGAGGATGGGCAAGAGCCGAAGGTTTTAAGCCGCTGGGGACACCCGGGCAGTTCAGTGTGTTAAAGCCCTGGTCCTAAGGCACCGCCGTTTGCAGCTAGCTGTCACTCAAAGCTTAAACAAGCAAACAGGCCACACATAGAGGCAAACCCAGTGATCCCTCCCAGTTGCTTCCTAGTCTGCTCTCCAGAGAGGGATGGAGCTACGCCCACGAGGTGGCCAGAACCAGGCCCTCCGTGCCCAGGGCCGACTAGCCAACATCCACTGACCTCCAGCGAAATGCTGGTGCCTTTCTAAGCCCTTGAACCCTTTTAGCAACCTCACAGGATAGATACTGTTACCCCTCCCCAGATGAGTCTAACGATGCACAGAGAGGTTAAGTAATTTGCACGAGGTCACACAGCGGCTAAGTTTGGGGCACGTATTGAACATTGGGGCTTACTTCCCCGCCAAATGTCTGCCGCTTTTGCCAGATTCCTGGGAGATGGCTGTGAAGATGTAAACAAATGCCAAAGGCCCAAGGGTGGCCTGCCTGCACCTACAGCCCTGCTGCCCCAAAACACTGACCATTCATTCCTCTCCAGGGCTGGGGGCTGCGGGAGGGGTTGCCACCGGCCTTGCAGCTGGTGGAGCTGCGAGCCTGGCCGCTTGGGGTTATTTCGAGCCGCGCGGAAGGATTTGGACAACCTGACTGCTACTTGCGGATGGTTCTTTTCACCATCTGGGTGGGCTCGCGTTTGCAGGGCGGGTGGTGCCGGCACCGACGGGGCGTCCCGGTGCGTGCCTGCGCCCACCCTGACGGCGTGTCCCTCGCTTCCCCCACAGCCGCCTCCCCGTGCAAGATCCTCAAGTGCAACTCTGAGTTCTGGAGCGCCACGGCGGGCGGCCACTCCCCGGCCTCGGACGACGCGCCCGAGTTCTGCGCGGCCCTGCGCACCTACGCCCTGTGCACGCGGCGCACGGCGCGCACCTGCCGGGGCGACCTGGCCTACCACTCGGCGGTCCATGGCATCGAGGACCTCATGAGCCAGCACAACTGCTCCAAGGATGGCCCCACCTCGCAGCCGCGCCTGCGCACGCTGCCGCCGCCCGGGGACAGCCAGGAGCGCTCCGACAGCCCCGAGATCTGCCACTACGAGCGCAGCTTCCACAAGCACGCGGCCGCCCCCAACTACACGCACTGCGGCCTCTTCGGGGACCCGCACCTCAGGACCTTCACGGACCGCTTCCAGACCTGCAAGGTGCAGGGGGCCTGGCCGCTCATCGACAATAACTACCTGAACGTCCAGGTCACCAACACGCCCGTGCTCCCCGGCTCGGCCGCCACGGCCACCAGCAAGGTAAGGCTGCGGCTGCGGCTGGGGCTGTGGCGGGGCGGCCTGTGGGGTCCCATCGCCCGGGCCCTGCTGTCAGGGGGACCCAGACTCAGCCCCCTGCACCCACCATGTTCTCGTTATTTTTAGTAAATGAGCAGATGATTTAGACAGGAATGTTCTAGAGATTCTTAATGTTGCCTAGAGTGCAGGGTTTCTCAAACTGCCGGCCACCCCCCCTCGGGGTTTGTGAAATCAGCTTTCGGGGGTCAGAAACCATCAAACGTGAATAGATGTAGCTCAGTGGTTCTCAACCTTCCCAATGCCGCGACCCTTTCATACAGTTCCTCATGTTGTGGTGACCCCCAATTTCGCTGTTACAGATTGAACATAATGAAAGCATAAGTGATTCATCACAAAAACAGTATGTAATTCTATATGTGTTTTCTGATGGTCTTTGGCGACCCCTGTGAAAGGGTCGTTCGACCCCCAAAGGGGTCGCGACCCACAGGTTGAGAACCGCTGGTGTAGATGATTTGTTTCACTGGGCGTAACCTGGCGGCACAAAGGGCAGTCAGTCTTCGAAGGCACTGTTCGTGGGAAGGGGAGATGCTGGAGGGGACCTGGTGTCTGTTGTGTGCGTGTGCGCACGAGCATGTGCATGTGTGCTCACGTGTGCACACCCGTGGCCCAGGCGACGAGACAGCCCCGTCCGCCGCACTCACGGCTGGAGGGTGTCCCGTGGCCTCCCTTCAGACGCAGCCAGAGGGAGGCTGGCGGACTCGGGGTCCAGGTGATGGGGACACGGCTGCCTCCTCAGGGCCGGGTCCACCAGGGCCCCTGGGGTTCCCAGGCCGGCAGTGGGTCTGTTTTCCTCGGAAGAACATGTGGCCAGGGCGCCAGGCTGACCCACAAGGGCGCCAGGCTGCCCCTGCCCCCCTGTCCCTTCCTGTCCCTCTGTCCCAGAGGACAGTGAGGTGACCGGCAGCCGGCAAAATTCCTGCCACTTCCCTCTGTGCCAACAGCCTTCGCATGCCCGCAGGGGGCCTGTTTCTGAGACCAACCGCTGGGTAGGAAACCAGCGGGTCTCGGCCCGGGGAGGCCCTCGCAGGCCCTCGGCGCCAGGCCTTGAAGTGGCGGCCGAGTTGTGGCCGGCGCTCTCTGCCCTGTCCCCCTCCCAGCCCTCCGCGGGCAGAAGGGGGCCCACGTCAAGACCCCCCCTGCCTTCTCTGCAGCCCCTTTACCTACACACCTCCCACCTGACCGAGAGCCAAGATGAAGGAATGCTGGGAGCCTGCGGCTGCAGCTTCTAAATCGGGGGTCCTCAAACTTTTTAAACGGGGCCAGTTCACTGTCCCTCAGACCGTTGGAGGGCCGGACTATAGTTTAAAAAAAAACTAGTTGGCTGCTAAACAACAGGCAGCGGCGTCAAAAACACCCGGCGGGCCGGATAAATGTTTTTGGCGGGCCGCATGTGGCTCGCAGGCCGTAGTTTGAGGACCCCTGTTCTAAATCCAGCAGCAAGCCCGCTCCGGGAGGGGCCCTGCCTTTGGGCCCCATCCTGGCAGGAGCGCAGAGGAGGGAGCTGCCCCTCCTAACCCAGAAGGTAGAAGCACCAAACGTGATCACAGAGGCCGGGAGGAACTGTGGTTCATGATCAGCCAAGTGGTCAGCTGCCCCCAGTGACGGGGGTGACACGGTGGAGCAAGAGCCCTTAGGCCACAAACAACGGGAGTCCGCAGGCGGGAGATGTGTCGGGGCCCCGGCTGCCGCCCTCCGCTCTCTGCTGACTCTGGGGCCCTGAGCCCAGCCATGCTGTCCCAACCCAAGTGGGCTCCTCATTCATTCTTGCGCCCCCTCAGTCACGTGGCGGCCTTTTCCCAATGGCAGCTGTGGTGCAGGCTCGCTGCAGGGCACAGGCTGGGAGTGCCTCCCTTCCCATAGCAGTTTCCAGAAGGACATGGGCCCTGATGCAGAGCTGGCCCCCCCAGCCCCCCTCTGCTGTGACGGGGGCCACCTTGATCTTTGCAGCCGGCTGAGAGCTCGGTGGCTTTCGCTGTGTCCCCCTCAGCAGGAGGCGCACAGGCCCCGCTAGAGGCCCAGCAGGGACAGGGTCGGCGTTGGGGCCACACAGTCTCGGTGTCAGGCAGACGGGGCCTGTGGTCACAGGTAGGGGCATCGTGGCTGGGCCCAGCGCCTGTGGCCTGCCCCTGCCTCTTCTCGGAGGCCTCCCATCGCTCCCTGATGGAGGTGTTGGTTCGCTCACTGACTCAGCCGACGGTCAACTGAACGTCTTTTGTGTCAGCCTCTGTGCTGGAGGTGGCCCGCCTCCCCCAGCTTCCCGGCTGATGACGGAGACGGAGCTGGGGTAGCAGGATGCAGAGGGCTCTGAGCAGGGCCCCGGGGAGGGCCTGCGAGTCCGTGCCCTGAGGGCGCCCCCCAGGACGGGAGGGGGCAGCGGCAGAGCCAGGCCGAGGTGGGTGCGGCCCGGAGCCTCAGGGAGGAAGCGAAGCCAGGGGGCTTTCCTCGCCAAGCTGAGGGGCACCGGGGGCCTTTCAGGCTGGCAGGAGCCCTCGGCCTGACTCTCCTGTTCCCGTGACCCCACTCCCCTCCTGCCTGCCCTCAGCGTGATGCCTCGGCCCAGGGGCCCTGGCTCATTCCCATGACGACGGCGTGATCCAGCCCGCGCCGTCCTGTTCTCGTGAATAATCAGAATCTGGGCTGTTTGAGCCAACTTCCCACCCCATGGGAGAGCCTCCCAGGCCTCTCTTTCCAGCTGTGCTAGCAGCACCCATTGTACAGGTGAGCAAACTGAGGCTTACGGAGCAGAGGCTCTTGGGTCTCTGCCTCCCATCCCCTCTCCCCCTCGCTGGTCCCCCGTCACACTTACCACTCTGTCTCGCTGCATAATTCGTCTGCCTGGTCTGTGACCCCCGCCCCCAACGTGAGCTCCATGAGGACGGGCCTTGGGCCGTCTCGCTCCCTGTGTGGACACGGCCCCGGTACCAGGCCTGGCATGTCATTGGCGCTACACACACAGTGGTGGGTGAATCCCGGGCCCTGCCCTGTCCCCAGCGCGGTGGGGTGGGCCCAGGCCCCTCGGGGAAGGAGAGGGGGGGCAGCAAAGGCAGGAGCGGCAGCCCCGCCCGGGCCCTGTTGGCAGCGCGCCGCCCGGCTTTCAACAGGCCCCCTTCATGCTGTTACTTGTGGTTGAGGCCCTGGCACCGGTGCCAAGGAGAGAGTCAGGCGGCCTGTCAGCCTTCCAGGAGACTGTCTCCGCGAGAGATGGCGGTTAGAGCAGAACCAGCCTTTCCTGTTCAGGGAGACGGTGGCCCTGGGAAGGCGGCCCCGCCCCCCCAGTGTCTGTGTGGCCCTGCGCACGAGGCAGGGACCCCGAAGTCTCTCACCCGAGCCCCGTCTCCCATTTGCTGGACCACCCTACCGCTCAGACCACTCCTGGTGGCTCACCTCCGGGCTCTGCAGGAGCTCTGGACGGAGAGAAGGGAAGCTGCAGGAGGTGGAACCTTATGAAGTCGCCGGCTTTACAGGCCAGGGGTGTAGAGCAGCAGCAGCAGCAGCAGCTGCGTACGGTTCGATGAGGGCTCGAAGCAGGATGGAGAGGCTGGGGCCCCCTGTATCGTCCCGCAGCACCCACAGAGCACCAGCCTGTCCTCTTGTGCCCGGAGACGCAGCGGTCCAGGTGCCCTGGGTCAGGGGGGCAGCGGCCTTAGAGGCACCAGCTGACCCTGGGAGCAGGGACGAGAGAGGCTGTGTCTTCAGCCCACACAATCCTCCTAGTTAGGAGTACAGAGGAAAGAGCAGCCAGACATCGCTGCCAGGATGGGGGGAGGGAGGCAGGGGACCCACACTCACTCCCCCAGCTGTTTGTCTCCCAGGCCCCCCACCCCGTAGGCTTGTGGCCCAAGAAGCACAGGGACTGGGAACTAGGAGTCCAATCCCAGCGGTGCTGCTTGCTGGCTGTGTGACCTTGGGCAGGTCGCTTTACCTCTCTGAGCCCACGTTGCCTGGTCTGTAAATCGGAGGTCACGTCACCCTCCCCTGCCGTGCCACGCGGGACTAGAAGCGATAGACGTGGTGCCCGGGACACTGATGCGGCCACTGTGCCCGTGTGCCTGGTTCCCAGGAGGACAGTGACTGACACAGCCCGTCGGGGGCTCAGCCAGCCCTGCCCCTCAAGGCAGGCTCTAGTGCAGCGGTTCTCAACCTGTGGGTCGCGACCCCTTTGGCGGTCGAACGACCCTTTCACAGGGGTCGCCTAAGACCATCCTGCATATCAGATATTGACATGACGATTCATCACAGTAGCAACATTACAGTTATGAAGTAGCCACGAAAATAATTTTATGGTCAGGGGTCACCACAACATGAGGAACTGTATTTAAAGGGCCAGAAGGTTGAGAACCACTGCTCTAGTGGAAAAGGGCCTCCTGGCTGCAGCCCTGGCCAGGGTCTCACCTTCAGTCTGGAGACGGCGTTTTGTTTTTGCACACCTGCCCCTTCCTCCTCCCCCTCTGCCTCCTGCCCCCTCCCAGGCCCGGCTGAGGGGCCCTTTCTGGCAGCCCACGTGGCCTCTGCCAGCGTCCTCCTGCCTGGGTGGATGACGCCCCCTCGCCTTTCTTCCAGCAGCAGTCTCTTCTGTGCCACCTGCTGTTATGTGCGGCCCGTGGGCCGTTCTTGCTCAGAAATTCTGCTGGAGGCCCCCTGGCCGCGGGGGAGATGGTGGTGGACGGTTGTGGACCGTGTCAGTTTGCTCTTGCTGCTGTAACAAACAGCACTCAATAAGTGGTTCTAACAGGCAGACCTGTGTTCTCTTCCGGTTCCGAGTCGAGGAGTCTGGGACGCGTCTCCGAGGGCAAACATCGGGGTGTCAGCAGGGTGGAGCTCTTTCTGGAGGCTCCTGGGGACAATGCGTTCATTGTCTCTTCCAGCCTCGGTGGCTGCCAGCATCCCCCGGCTTGTGGCCGCATCACGCAAGTCCCTGCCTCCGTGGAAACATAGCCTTTCTGTTGTCAGATCTCCTCTGATCCCACCTTATGGGGATACTTGGGGTTACATTTAGGGCTCCCCTAGGGCATCCAGGATAATACCTCCATCTCAGAGTCCTTAGCCTAATCCCTCTGCAAAGCGCTCTGCCATAGAAGGTCACGTTCATGGGCTGCAGGGAGGAGACCGATATCATGGGGGCCATTATTCAGCCAATTACAGTAGATAATGAATGACCTTTTGTGTTTAATCAGCTATGCTTTTCCTTTTGTGGTTCATCTTTCTATATAGTTAATGAGCTGGGAGTTTTCTAGAGTCATGATCTAAGTCAATTTCTAAGTTCCTATTCTAAGTCAATTTTTTTATATATTTTTTAATTGGTTTCAGAGAGGAAAGGAGAGGGAGGAGAGATAGAAACATCAATGATGAGAATCATGGATCGGCTGCCTCCTGCACGTCCCCCCCACTGGGGATCAAGCCCGCAACCTGGGCACGTGCCCTTGACCGGAATCAAACCGGGGACCCTCGGTCCTCAAGTTGATGCTCTATCTACTGAGCCAAACCAGCGAGGGCCTCAGTCAGTTTTTTAAAGTAAAAAGAGTAAGTTGTTTTAAAGCAGCCGTTCTCAACCTGTGGGTCGCGACCCCTGAAAATACATCCTGCATATCACATATTTACATGACGATTCATCACAGTAGTAACATTACAGTGATGAAGTAGCAACGAAAATAATTTTATGGTTGGGTCACAACATGAGGAACTGTATTTAAAGGGCCAGAAGGTTGAGAACCACTGTTTTAAAGGAAAATGTCAATCGTGCAGGTGGTGCTGAACTAGGGGCCAAAATGCGGAAGGGACGGTCTGGGGCGTCCTCTGGGCTCCTCGCGCCCCAGCTTAGAGCATCGTGGGCATCGTGCGCACGGGGCTGGGCCTTCTCCCCGCAGCCCGGCCCCGCCTGACCCCTCTCTCTGCCCGCTCCCCTGCAGCTCACCATCATCTTCAAGAACTTCCAGGAGTGCGTGGACCAGAAGGTGTACCAGGCCGAGATGGACGAGCTGCCGGCCGCCTTCGCCGACGGCTCCAAGAACGGCGGGGACAAGCACGGGGCCAACAGCCTGCGGATCACGGAGAAGGTGTCGGGCCAGCACGTGGAGATCCACGCCAAGTACATCGGCACCACCATCGTGGTGCGCCAGGTGGGCCGCTACCTGACCTTCGCCGTCCGCATGCCGGAGGAGGTGGTGCACGCCGTCGAGGACCGCGACAGCCAGGGCCTCTACCTCTGCCTGCGGGGCTGCCCCCTCAACCAGCAGATCGACTTCCAGGCCGCCCGCGCCCCCGAGGGCCCGGCGCCCGCCGCCCCCGACACCTTCCCCTACGAGACGGCCGTGGCCAAGTGCAAGGAGCGGCTGCCCGTGGAGGACCTGTACTACCAGGCCTGCGTCTTCGACCTGCTCACCACGGGGGACGTGAACTTCACGCTGGCCGCCTACTACGCCCTGGAGGACGTCAAGATGCTCCACTCGGACAAAGACAAGCTGCACCTGTACGAGAGGACGCGGGAGCCCCCCGGCCGGGCAGCTGCCGCGGGGCTGGCCCCGGCCCCCCGGCTCCTCCTGGGCGGCCTCCTGCTCCTCGCCCTGCTCCCCGTGTTCCCAGAGGCCCTGGCCGCATAGGATGGAGAGCGAGGCGACTGCAGAAGGGCCGGGCTTCCCGGCGGCCCCGGCCTCGGAGGGGCCAGAAGCGAGGCAGCGCTGGCTGGTGAGCTTGGGGCGGTTCCCTCGGCGCTGACTCGGCTGCTGCTGCTGCCAGGGCTGGGGCTGGGGCGGCCCCTCGCCCTCCCCGGGGGCCCCCGACAGGCTGTGGTGACCCACTGGTGCTGTGCCCGCTGCGACGGTGCAGCTGAGTGACGGGAGAGCCGCCCCCACCGCCCCCAGCCCGCACATCCGAGCCCCAGGCTGGAGCCCCGCCACTGACACTGGGAAGGTCACGCCAGCGCCTCCCGCCCCGCCATGCACTGAACGCCCGGCGACTGCTGCACGCCCGCCGTCCGCGCACACTTACACGAGCACACTCGCACACACTGAGCCTGCGGGGCCGGGGCACCCTCTCGGCTGGACCCCCCCAGGCAGGGCCTCCTGTCCCCGGGGTCTCAGGGCACCCCAGGCCCCTGCCCGGGACCGTGCGTGTTGGCACGTGCTCCGAGCGACGCCACTCGTGGGCTTGGATGCCCTTGTCCGGCCCCCTCCCCCACTGTGCTTAGGAAGTCGAGTTGAGTTTCTAAATGTCTACACACAGAACTACCCTTTGACTTATGACCCTTCCTGCCCAGCAGGTGGCCAGAGCCCGGGCAGGGGGCTGGGGGGGCTGGTGGACGGGGCCAGCTGGCCTGCCCTGATCCTCTGCTCGCTCCCCAAACCCGCTCCCCCCGTCCACCCAGGTCTGCGTCCGGGAGGGGAGCGGGCTTCAGCAGGCCTCACGGCCCCGAGCAGCCTTGAGCAGCCTTGGCAGGGTCTCCCCCATCGTCAGGTCCCTTCCCATGAGCCCCCGGGCCACACAGCCGGGGGAGACCTCCCGCTGGGAGCCCCGGCGGCCACTCCAAGGAGCCCAGGCCAGTCCCACCTCTGCTGCTGCTCCAGGGACCCCCGCCAGCTGGGCTCCTCTCCCCAAGGTGCTGCCAGGCCCCAGGGGGCCGTCCTCCCAGAAGCCCCGCAGCCCTCCCCGCCGGCCCCACCCGCCCCCTGCCGTCCCCAGGGACCTCGCATACACTGGCCCAGGAGGCTGCGGATCTGTCCCGCCTCCCCCTCCAAGAGGTCCCCTCTCTGCCAACCCCCCCGGCGGGCGGGCGGGCGGCCCCGCTGGCCTTCAGACAGCCCCTGCGCTGGAAGGAAAAAGTGAAGCACTTTATTTTGGTTGTGTTTGCTCTCGCGTCTGCTTGGAAGTGGGGACCTCCCCCCCCCACTGCGTCCTCGTGTCTGCGACCTGTGTGGAGGGTCCCCGCGTGTACATACTGTAAATTATTTATTAACGGCTACATGCAAGTAAAGTTTGGGTTTTGTTTTGTTACTTTCCTTTGGACTTGCGTGTTGGAGTTTGTTTTCTGGACGGCTGGTGCCTTTGTGGGGTGGAGAGTTGACTTTGGTGGCGCGTGTCCCCTGACAGTGTGTGGGGGGCAGTTAGCGTGTGTGCATGTGTGTGCACGCGTGTGTGCCTGTGTTGTAAATGTGTGCAGAGGATGTAGCAACTTCACCACCAAAGCCCCTGCTCTTCTAAAATTACTCTTTATCCTCACGACGAGCTGCTTGGGGGCGGGAGGGTCTGGTCCCCAGGCCCTGGGGCTGGGACCGTCTCAGGACACATGGGTGGGCACCCGGCGGAAGGACCACACGCCCCCGGGGGCCTCGGGTGGGCTGGCCTGAGACCCAGGGTGACTCCATCTCGGCCGTCAGTCTGGAAGCTCAGGCCTGGGCCTGTCACCGCCCCCACCCCCACCCCGCGTCCCCCGATCACATGCAACCCATGGGGGGCAACACCCGTCAGTGTGAGGAGGGCCAAGGCTTGCTCGGGGGCCAGGTTCCCTGCTGGCGGTCACTCCATGTCATCCTGTAAAACAGCGGTTCTCAACCTGTGGGTCGCGACCCCTTTGGCGGTCGAACGACCCTTCCACAGGGGTCGCCTAAGACCATCCTGCATATCAGACATTTACATGACGATTCATCACAGTAGCAACATGACAGTTATGAAGTAGCAACGAAAATAATTTTATGGTTGGGTCACCACATGAGGAACTGTATTTAAAGGGCCAGAAGGTTGAGAACCACTGCAGTGTAAAACGACCCACTGAGCCAGAGACACATCTCCACCCATTTCACAGATGAAGAAATGGAGGCTCGCTGTGAGTTGACTTGCCCAAGATTCCTTAGCCAGGGCGGGGCCAAGGCGTCCAGCTTCGGTCCGTTCCTGCTCTCGGCACTAAACTCCACGAGTCTGAGGAGCAGCCCAGCGAAGCCAGGCCACGTCCGTCCACGTTCCTACCTGTGTGACCCAGGCCGGGTCTCTCACCCTCTGAGCCTCCGTGCCCACCTCTGTCAGGTGAGACGTGCCTGTCCCCCAGGGCTGGTGGTGACTCTGAGTTTGTCCCTGCTCAGTGCTGGGGCCAGGGCCTGGCAGCTCGGGGGCAGGAGTCGGGGAGTGAGACAGGCCGTGGGTGGGAGGAGGAGGGAGAGGGCCGCACAGGGCCTGGGTGCTCGGGAGGGACGTGAACCCAACGGCCAGCGAGGGGAGGCATCCGGAATGAGCATGCGCACCGGTCCCAACCTCAAGAGAGAGGCTGAAAGTCGGGGGACCTTTCCAGAACCCCACTCTTCTATTTCCATAGAAAACCTGGTGGTCTGGGCTTTGGAACGGACAGAGCAAGGCCAGAACATACCCACGGGTCCTACCCGGTCGCCCAAACTGTCGGTACCCGTGGCCCTGCCCCACCCCCACCCAGCAGTAACCGGGATGAAGTAACCACGGAGGGGGCACAGCCCTGGGCACCTGGCCAGCACAGAACAGATGATTGAGAAGCTGGGCACACGGGGTTTTTTTTTTTAAACAACCTTGTTCACCATCAGATGAAAACGCCACGTTCCCTGCCAGGAATATTCCTGGCTTGGCGTTCGGTCAGGACCCTCCACTGAGGCCGGGGTTCTCTCCCCAGCACCTTGCTACCAGCTGCCCTGGTGAGCATGGACATGTGCCTGTCATGTGCGTGTGGAACACAGTCTGGGGCCACATGGGGCCCACGGCGGGCTGGGCTGGGTGGGAGCAGGGTCCCCGTGGCCGCCCGCCCACGGCCACTCAGCCCGCGGCAAATGCATCTGCAGACGGAGGCCCGGCCCTTCTCTGTCCCCAGGATCTTGGAGCCCTTGGTGGGCGAATTTATAAGGAGAAGACAGGAGAGAAAGCTATTAAAAACAAATGAGGGGCATTTATAAGCAAGGGGACCCACCCTGGGGTGAAGAGAATTAGAACAGGGGGATGGGGGTGGGGGGGTGAGTGGAGGAGTGGGGCTCATCGGAGGGGTGCCAGGCAGGGAGCGGCGGGGCGCAGGGGGTGGTCTCGGGCGGCAGGAGGACTTGGCGCTCCATCTGGCTCTGCCCGCCGCTTGCTGTGTGGTCCGCCTTGGATTTTTGGAGGCTTAGCTGCCTTATTTGTAAAATGGAATTATGAGGACCTACCTCCCCAGGTCATTCCAGAAACCCCATGAGCTCACGCTCCTAACCCGCCCGGCACCTGGCGCTGGTGCGGCCCGGGGAGGCCCCCAGAAACGGCGGTCCCCACCCCCCACCCCCCTCCGCGCACAACCCTCTCGTGACCACTCGTGCTGGGGCAGCGGAGCAGGCTACCTCGCATTCTCTTTGCAGAGACAAGTCCATGAACACATGGTTGTGTCACGGAATGCCCCATCGCGACAAAGAAGTGGGTCAGAGTTTGGGAGGGAGCCCGGCCCGTGTGGCTCAGTGGTTGAGTGTCGACCTAGGAACCAGGAGGTCACGGTTTGATTCCCGGTCAAGGGCACAGGCCCGGGGTTGTGGGCTCCATCCCCAGTAGGGGGCGTGCAGGAGGCAGCCGATCCGTGATTCTCTCTCATCATCATGGATGTTTCTGTCTCTCCCTCTCCCTTCCTCTCTGAAATCAATACGAAAAATCAAAATGACAATAGAGGGCACCCCGGCCCTGCTGGGGAGACAGCTGTGGCAAG